TTTGGTACAACTGTTTGTGATTTTATGTTTTTTTCGTGTGTGTGTGTATATGAGGGGGCTTCAAAAAGTTCATGGAAAATTCACATTATTTTCTGTTTTTTTCCATGAATTTTTTGGTATTGTCTCACACCAGCGAGGAAGAAAAAATGCTGCTAATTATCATTATAAGATGTTTTTCTGAATATCCCACACCTGTCTCTGCATATTTTCCCTTCACTCTTCTTCACACTGTTCTGTGCCTTGAAGAAGTGAACTCTACTGAACTGTTTCAATGGAGCTCTCCTACTCTGTGGATTTTGGTTGAGTTTGGACAAAGAAAGGTGTGGGGAGCAGCTCGGACTGGACTAAGTTACTGGAATTAAGACTTATTCTATGCATCTGCTCTCCCACAATATGTCGCTGGGAGAGAAGAAAACAGCTTTTACACAGCTGCCTCCAGTTCAACCAATAAACTGTAGGACTTGCTCCTGATTGGAGAGCAGCGTACTTGGCGTGTGGGCAGCCGAGTTAGGATTGGCGGAGGAGGACTATAAAGGAGGAGAGAGACGCCCGGGAAGAACCAGCAGCAAACCCGGGGAGGGCCGAGCAGACGAAAGAACAGCGCAGGGTCCTGTGTCGTTCCTCCACGAAGACGGGGAGCGACAAAAGGTACCAGTAGGGGACTGAATGGTGAAAGGAAAGTGAAATTGATAGCTATATCCCCTGACTCCCCCATGCTGAGTCAAAGTGGCCACTACTTTGATCAATGATCCTGGCCAATAGGAAACTGAAGGAACCAATAAAAGCAGGGCTACTATGGAGCCATATCCTACAGAAATGAAGAGTTGAGTCAATTCCCAGGCAAAGAAAGCGATCTAGTTGAAGTGGTGACAGAGTATAAAAGAATTTGAAACAATTATCAACTCAGATTCTATGTCTAGCCCCAGAAGTGGAGCTGAAGCACCTATGTTTTATGTTGGTTTACTATTTCTTCCAAATTTTTTCTTTCCCAACTCTGTGTGACGAGAATTGGTAGTAGCTAAAGTACTGAGTTTTGGATGACAGTCTGACAGAACTAATACTACTCTGCAGTGATACTCGTCAGAAATTTTTCCTAAAGGGCTAAATCATAAATAGTTCAGGCTCTAGAGGCCATATGGTCTTTGTCACAACTACCCATCTCTGCTGCTGTAGCACAAAAGCAGCCATAAACAATACATAAAAGAATGTGTGTGGCTGTGTGCCAATGAAAACTTCACTTGCAAAAAACAGATGGCCAGCATGTGATCTGCAGTTTGCTGACTTCTGAAGTAGATTATGGGGAAATTGTCTCTTGTACTCGGGACATGAGATTTTTTTTTTTATGCTAAAGCAAAGAGTCAGTACTCAGGTTAGAAGGAATGAACTGTGCTGGGTATTCACTGTTTACCTCAGCAGAGTCTAAATGTTCCAAATTGTTTTGTGCTTTGTTTCTTTGCTCTCTGGGTTTCCACTGGGTTTGACGAACTGCAACCAATAGCAGAGGATCAAAGGACAGGAGAGAAATACCATGATATTTGTTTTCCACACTCTACCCTCCATGGACTGAAGGTTGTTAAAGGCTGTGCTCCTCTTCCTCAGCTCTTCCCAAGTGCTCTGCCCTAAGATTATACCTACAGGGCTCCCTGGGTTCCATGGCACTGCCACCTTTGCTGCTTTAGTTCCCTTGACCATGCCCATGTTAGGATAAACAGCCATTCTCATTATGCCCTCCTCCTCAGTCCCCTATTTGCATCTGTCATCTGTTTCCCATCAAGACCTTGACTGAAAAGGGTGTCATTAATTCTAAGACATTCCCTACTTAGGAGATATTAAAATGTGAAAGAGTATGTACCTTAGGATCAATGAACTATGATAGTTGAGCACGATGTTCCTGATGAACAAATGAATCAATGAGTCATTAGCATTCACAGTGCAGCTCATCTCAAAGACGAGTATGGTGTATTAGTGTGATAGGTTATTCATTGTTCAGAATGAACTTCAAAAATCAAAATCAATACTGCTTCCAAAAAACTTCCATCTGAATATTTTGATGCTTTTTCTCAGGCTTGATTCTTCTGATGAACAGGATGATCATGGCCTTGCCCAGGAATCCTCATCGTTACAAAAGAGCAGAAATATTAAAGTGCTCCTTAGTCATTTCCATTTCTCATGAAACGGGAGCAATCTAAAGAAAATGCTAGCAACATCGCCGCCCAGGATTGGAGTACCAGTTCAAGTCCTGGCTGCTCCTCTTTTGATCTAGCTCCCTGTTAATGTGCCTGAAAAGTCAATGGATGATGGCCCAAAACACTTGGGCTTTTGTCACTTGTGTCACCCATGTGGGTCACCAGGATGGAGTTCCAGTCCCTGGCTTTGGCCTGGCCCAGCCCTGGCTGTTCTGGCCACTTGGGGAGTGAACAAGCAGGAGGGGGATCTTTCTTGGATGCACTTTGGATGACCCCCTTCCCTTTCTTCTCCTTCATCCCTTCCCCAGTTATCTAAGCTTAAGCCCAAGGGTTGAAGGTTTGTGGAGGTGAAATCTGCAGTTCTCTGGGAATGACTTAGGTTCATCCAATTTCTGGTTCACCCTTCACTAGCTTTCTTATAATGGCTAAGAAACTCCTATTGGGCCAATCCTCTCCCAGACACCTGTATCAGGACAAAATGTATATACTGTATGTATATTTTAAAAACTATCTGAAGACACTGAAGAGTGACCAAAAAGCAGTTGGATACTAGAAAGCAATCATCACTTGGAATCAGACAATCAACTTGAGGCATCAGTTTTGAAGGGGATTTTGTCAAAGGGTGTCTTGTAGAATATACCACACTGTGCTTGAGCGTGGGAGAGGCTTAAGTGATGCTAGAAAACCTGCAGTCTTACTGGTGTTAAGAGCTAGAGCAGAGACCAAGGGTAACCACGGCAAATGAAAAGTGAGGACAGGATCTCAGAAAGAAGATAGCCAGAGACGGAGACCCTGATTCTATTTTTAAGTGGTCTAAATCGCTGACTTATCACCGAACCATGCACGTGCAGGCTGGGAGCAGGGGCAAATTCCACACAGTCCAACTAAGGTAGAAAGAATCAAATTGAGATTTCACCTGCCATCTATTAAAGTGGAGACAGTTTTCCATTTGTGCTTAGCAGAAAACTTAACTGCCTACCCCTTCCCCCCCCCACAGAGAGAGAGAGAGAGAGAGAGAGAGAGAGAGATTTCTTCCGTATCAGTGTGAGCAAACAGAACTGGGGATCAAACAGAACTGTGAGATTTCTAATGAGAAATCAGGTCTCTAGAGACTTCTTACTAATCTTTAAGAATGTGCCCAAATTTTAGTATAAGCCATACATTTTTAATAACTGTATTTATTAAGCTTCAAATAGTCTTTGTATTGTACAGCAAACTGTCCGTAATATTCCAAATTCAAAAGGACAACTGTTTTTGAAGAAATCAGAGCAGTTCCTTAAATGTCAATTCATCTTTAAGGCTCGGACTTTCAGGCTACTGGGCAGAGGGCACAGGCTGGTTTGTCAAAGGCCAGAGAGCTTTAACGGGGGTAGATATATGCTTACTTAATTGTGGCAAATGATCTCTTGGACTTTTTATGGCTTCTGAACTAGTCACTGTTTGACATTCCTCCCCCAGCCACACCATTGACCTTTATCTGATATATTTAAAGAAGACAGGCACCAAAGAGTGGCTTCTAGTATGCTTTGTAAACTAAATCTTATTTTTAAATAGTGTGTAAGCTTATTTACAGTTTAGAGATCACTATGGCTAACCTAACCTGAAAAAAAAATGAAGTGTCAAATCTACTTCATATTTTAAACTTCTTGACATGTTGAAATTTGTACTTTCCATATAAATGCAGTCACTTTCTTTGCTCATGAATAGATTGTGAGCCAAACTGATACTCTAAACATGGAGGGAATGAAGTGTCTGTCTCCAGGTTAAAAAACGTTGTATGAGATTTCTTGCATGCCCATATGCAATTATAAAGGCAGGCCGCATGGGGAAAGCTGCCCTTCCCACAAGCAGACATGGGCACAACCAGTGCATTGAGGTCTCCAAGGGGAGTTGCAGTCACGGGCTCAGGTTGCCCTGCCCAATCATACTTGTTCATACAGTCTTCAGGGATTGGTTTCAAGACCCCCTTGGATACACCCACATCTGTAGATGTTCAAGTCCCTCACGTAAAGGGGTATAGTAGTTCATATAATGTGCACATCCTACCAAATGTGTTAAATCACCTAACAATACAATGGCAACACTGTAGAAATAGTTGTTCTACTGTATTGTTTAGGAAATAATGATAAGGGAAAACATCTGTACATGTTCAGAACAGATGGATTTTTCTAGCTGGGTATTTTCAATCTGATTGGTTGAATCTGCAGATGCAGAAGCTGCAGATAGGGAGGTCCAAGTGTATTTACAGTTTCGGTCCTGGGCCGTCATTTCTAGGTCTCTCTATCTGAAGCCTTGGACAGGAGCCTTTTTCAGGTGTCTCTGCTGAGATCTCCTTCTATCCGGGGCAGATGGGAGAAACCTTGAAGCTGCTTTTCCCTGCTCTGACTCAGTTCCCAGTACTTTGCTACTCCTGGTCCCCCACCAGTCTCAAGGGTCCATAAAACCGCCAGTGCCTTTGTCCTGAGCTCCCTCAACAAGGAGAGGATTGCCCTTCTGCACTGCTCTGCAGGATTCACCTGGCAAACATGCTGATCCCCGGAGGAAAACGGAACAGGAGGCAGCCCTGTCTCTGGTTCTGGCCTCTTACTAAGCCCATTGATGCAGGTGATTAAAGGCTTAACTTTCATTTTTGAGTTGTTGCTTCAATTGGCTACTCTGACAGCTGACAGCTCAGCACTGTCCCAGTTCAGCTGCGCTCCTGACAAGGCTAATCCCATGTTTTCGTTCCTAAAATACCACCAAGAATTAGTCCTAAAACCATGGACCATACCAAGCAAGTTATGGCTAGTGCTTGATAAAGAACGTGACTTTCAATGAATTTGCTCCAAAATATTTTATTAATAAAAGTTTTATATAAACAAAATAGAAAAGAGTTATGTTTCACACTGAATAATGTTGAAAGCATGTGAATCATTGTGACTTCTAATTTTTCTACAAAATGAACCAGTCATGTTGGAGTGAAGAGTTAGAGTAAATATCTTCATCAAAACTTCTGAAACAGTTTGAAGTACAAAAAGCATTGTGCTAACTTTTAAGTGCAAAGAAAGCTCATAATAAAATAGACTTTAAAAATTACAAATAAAAATCTGTACATCGAGGATATTTTAAGGCCTTCCCATGCACGTGGCACCATATATAAAGAGAAAAGGAACCACCAACGGAGGAACATCGCGTCAGGTGTTACAGGTCTGGCCCATTTCTGCTTGCAGGACCATCTCTTCTTTTCTCAAGGGGAAAGTGTCAATCAGGTTGAAGAGAGTCACGGGCGTCACCAGAGAGACATAGCGCTCCTTGTCCATGCCATGCTTGTCCACTAGCACCATACTGAAGGAATAGAGTGGAATTCGAAGTAACAACCTGGGGCAGGCAAAGAAAAGGTAAGAGTATGTCAGACCCTGATGCAGGAGGGTTCTGGGAGTCAGAGCCCTAGAGTGACACTGTGTGCAGAGAAAGGCTTGATTTCAGGAAGGACTGAATTTTCCATTAGATCCTTGCAACTCAAAAGGCTGGACCTTGGACTAGCAGCAACACAAGGGAACCTGTTGGAAAAGATGCTCACACCCCACACCAAAATTATCAGACTTCTATCTGCATTATTAGCAATATCTCCAGAAGGCTGGTATGCACATGCAAGGTTGAGAAGCACTGCTTTAGGCTGTGGTTAGGAGGGTGTCAGACCCACAATGGCACCATACACCAGCAGTTACTGCAAAGGCGCATACAACAAGGCTAACAGATTGTCTTTTGGCATTAAATAGGAGTCAACCCAAGTTTGCAGACTAGTTTCTCATACCCATACACCAACTGGAGTGATTTCTCTGCCCCCCCCAACCCCCACCTCGGGGAACATTTGGCCATGTCTGGAGATATGTTTGGCCATCACAATGGGGGTAGAAATGCTACTGGCATCTAGGGGGTAGGAGCCAGGAATGCTGCTAAATATCCTACCACGCCCAGGAAACCCTCCCCAACAAACATTCTTTCAGCCCCAAATATCAATAGTGCCAAAGTTGAGAAATCCTAGACTAGGTAAAGCTGATTGGAATAACTTTCCAAATATTATAGTTATGACCTATTCAAGGGCCAGCTCAGGACTGCACAGACAGAAGGAACTGGGCTTGGTCTACACCCCAGGGATTCTGACTTGATTAATCACAAATTTGTATCCCAACTAATTCCAGAAACAGAACTTGAAGTGATTTCAAGTGTCTGGTGTTGTTTCTACTCTACTACGCTAGAATTTAATCTGTGTAGTTGTTTTACTATGCAAACATATTCAGATGAGAAAAGCTGCAGAAAGCAAACAAAGAGATGAGCTGAGCCGAAGGAAAGTATGAGCCCTCTTAGTCTCTTCTCCAGAGAGGGTATCTTGAGATTGTGCAAGAGGCACTGCCACCTGGATTTAAGATGAACTATTTTCCTTGTCATACAAATGGATAAAGGTTAAAAAAAAATCATTACGTAAAACACAAACTGGTGGCACCTTTTTCTGCCTTTTGACAAGAAATTACAGGTAAGAAGGGAATAATTTCTATTTTATCCCAGTGGGAAGCTAAATTGCTAATTCACTAGAAATAAAAGAAAGGCAACATTACTATGCCTCTGCCAGGCTTCCAGCAGTGCAAAGAGAGGAGCTTAGGAGAAGATGACTTAATGACATGCATTAATGAATCTTGGAACACGTGTATGTAGGCCTGTAAGTAGGTAAAGTGCAAGTAAGTCAGATGGGAATGGAGAGCTAAGGTGCTTTGTGTCCTTAAGAAAGGGGTTATTGAATCTCTAGGGGAAGTTCTAGCAAGGGGAGGAAACAGAGAAACAAGAAAGTAAGTGGGTCTGGAGGGAGAAGAGGGCCAAGCCATGTGGTGGCAGGAGCCTGTGGGGCGAGAATGACCGCTGAGAAATTGGAACATTCAATTTTATAGTGCTTATAAAGTTAGGATGGAACACCTCCACTGTGCCACCAGGTGTTACCACATACATTGCTCAAGGTCGCCCTGTCCCTTCATTGACATAGAATATAAAGAAGGGAAAACCAGGGCCATTGCTGTGGTGTAGCAGGTAAAGCCGCCACCTGCAGTGCTGGCATCCCATATGGGCACCGGTTCGAGTCCCAGCTGCTCCTCTTCTGATCCAGCTCTCTGCTATGGCCTGGGAAAGCAGTAGAAGGTGGCCCAAGTCTTTGGGCCCCTGCGCCCACGTGGGAGACCAGGAAGAAGCTCCTGGCTTTGGATTGGCACAGCTCCGGCCATTGCAGCCATCTGGGGAGGATGGAAGACCTCTCTTTCTCTCTGCCTCTCTCTAACTCTGACTTTCAAATAAATATTAAAAAAAAAAAAAAAGGAAAACCACATGGGAAGAAATGAGTGGTCAGAGCCACAAGTCAGCAACAGCCACAGAAATGCATCCTGCTGGGGCCAAGAAACCACAGAAATTTGGGGCCTGGATGAGCAGACGCCCCTGAGAATGTGGGTGAGGGTGGCGCTGGCAGTATGTATCAGTTACAGCAATGTCTGTCATCAGTTTGGAAGTGGTCCTTCCTGGAGAATCTTCCAGAGAACTCTAGAGACTCCAAGAATAATGTCGATATAAAAAGTATGGCTTTCTGTATCCCTATCCTATACCTTGATATCAGTAGAAAATTCCTCTAAGGAATATGAATTAGCCCATAGGTGCAGATCTAAAGGAAATGAGGCCAGGGAAGGAGGCAGGTGGTGACCTGGCAACACCAGGCACCCGTCTCCCCTTCCCACCAACTCCCCTCAATGGTTTTAGCATGGCCTCAGTGCTACTGGAAAACACTGCAACCAGACAAGTGAACTTTAGATTATCTAAGCATCCTGCTTCTCCATCTCTTCTTTCCTGCTTTCCATTCTTTGCCTACATCATCCTCTTTCCTTTACATGACACTCTAGGGTGGAATTCAAGGGGGAAAAGAACACAACATCCATCTGCCAAGCTCTTTCTTCCTCATGAATATTTCTGATAAAGGTAGCATGTGACCTGACACCAAACCCATTAGGTAATGCATCTGAGTCATCACCTGCACTGACAGCGCCTGCACTGTCTTCTGGCTATGCAATAAAGATTGACCCTCTTCTTCAAGGTTGCTTGCCAAAAAGTGCCAAAACTCTGACACTGTTGATAACACTAGGTCAGTGGTTCTCACAGTGCGGTTCTCTGGGAATCTGCATGAAATGCAAATTCTCAGGCCCCACCCCAGACCTACTAAATCAGATTCCGCAGGAGTACGGTTCAGCAACACATTTTTAAAAAATTTTATTGTTCATTTTTGTGAAGTACCATGTGATAGTTCAATATATGTATACAATGTACAATCAAGTCAGAGTAGTTAGAATCTCCATTTCCTTAGCATTTAAAAAAAATCTGTACACATGTATTGAAATATCACATTGTATCCCAGAAATATGTTTATCCCAAAGATGAATATTCAATAAATTCTGCAACATATTTCTCAAATGTGTTTAAATTAAATTATTTACTCGGAGTGTGTGGATACTATGAAAATTATCATTATGAATTCTCAGATAGCAACATAATCCCCTATCTTGAGTTTTGCAGACTTTACCTTGAGGTACTTGGAATTGAAAATATACCCTTAAAGGCTACTGTCACTACTGGGAATAATAAAGATGCTTCAGTGAAACTTAGAGCGATTTATGTCACTTAACACCAGCACGATGCCGGGTACTGTGCTAAGTGCTGAGTAGCAAATATCTGAAAGTATTGGTACTGGCCTCAAAAGTGCTAGAGGTGGCCTCAAAAGTACTAGTGCTATGCTCTAGAGGGGTGCTAGATAAAAATGCAGTAGCACTTAAAAAAAATACAAATGCTGGGACAAGCATTTGGCCTAATGGTTAAGACGCCTGCATCTCATATCAGATGTACCTAGGTTCAGTGCCTCACTCTGGCTCCCCGACAGGCCAACACACACACACACACCAAAAATCTTTGATTGGAGGGGGGAAGAAGAGAGAACACTAGTAATTACTCACTGCATGAGTTATTTGGACAAGCAGCAACATGTCAGCATGGTTATGATAAAGTGCATTCCAAGGGGGTTCAATTTCAGGACAGACTTTCCCCATACCTGAGCTGCAGAGCTAGGGCTGGAGGCATAATCTTTGTTCCTATCCTGCCGATAAGGGTCGGGAACACGCCTACCAGTTCTACCACGGTGATGTGTCGGAGATCCAGGCCACACTGGGATTGCTGGATGGGAAAAACACAACAGGGGAGGTGTTAACATGGCTAAAGGTGACTTTCATGCCAAACTACCAACTCACAGAGGCAGTAGTGGTCTGTTTTTGGAAGCTTATTGCCCACTCCAAATTGTGCAGAAAATAGTTAAGATAGCAGGGATAAACCAGTGACTATACTTCCTAGAACAGTACTCAGAAATGGCTTGGCAACAGGACTTTGGAAACCTAAGCAAAATGCTAGGCTAGACTGGGTGAGACCTTGCAGGAGACAAATTTCCTAAAAAGTGCCCAAGACCACCCCCAGACAATTCTAACTTTGTCTTTGGAAGGAGAGAAGAGTATTTCCAGAGACCCCTTCTTTGCCCTACCGTATGACCCCCACAGCCAAACCCAGGAGAAAACAAGGACAAAAAGTCCAGTCCTCTGAGCTGATTCTTAGCAAAAGCCTCGGGAATGTGGCCCAGTCAACCATGTGCCAGGAGATTTCTTCAGAAGCAGTGATGGCACCAAGGGAACAAGAAAGTTTCATAAGAGGAACCTGGCTAAGTAGAAAAAGAAATTTAAAATTCCTAAACTATGAAAACACCAAATGATTTTTACCACAATTCCACTGAAACATTGCTATATGAAGTGACAGAATTGGTACAAGAGTTAGAAATATTCTTTACTATTATTCTAACTGCAATGCCTAAGTCAACCTAACATTTCTTTGAAGGCTCTGGTTAAAACATAAGTGTAAGGATGTTCACGGGAGGAGGTCATATATAAACATATCGATACATGGGGCTGGTGCTGTGCCGTCGTAGGTTAGGCCTCCGCCTGCAGTGCCGGCATCCCATATGGGCACCAGTTCATGTCCTAGCTGCTCCTTTTGCAATCCAGCTCTCTGCTTATGGTCTGGGAAAGCAGTGGAAGATGGGCCAAGTGCTTGGGCCCCTGTGCCTACATGGGAGACCCAGAGGAAGCTCCAGGTGCCTTCAACTCAGCTCTGGCTATTGTGGCCATTTGGGGAGTGAACCAGCAGATGGAAGAGTAGGAGTGGGGAGCAACTTTTTCTGTAAAGGGCCAGAGAGTAAATAATATCGCCCCTCAGTATCCACAATCTGTGGCTGCTCAAGTTCCTTACATAAAATCGTGTTTGAATAGAACCTATACATACCCTACTGTATACTTTAAATCATCTCAAGGTTATTTATAATACCTGATACAATATAAATGCTTTGGAAATAGTTTCCATACTATATGTTTAGGGAGTTATGACAAGAAAAATTCTGTGTATATGCAGAACAGACGCAATTTTTTTTCCAAATCATTTTGATCCCAGTTTGGTTGAATCCCCGGAGGATGAACCCACAGGTACAGAGGGCTGAATGCGTTTGAGGCTTTCAGAGCCGCATGGCCTCAGCCCTAACTACTCAATTCAGCTGTTGTAGTACAAAAGCAGTCATAGACAATGCACAAAGGAATGAAGGCAATTGTGTACAATAAAATTTAACTTACAGACATTGGCAATGGACCCCATTTGCCCCATGGGCCATAGTTTGCCAAACAGAGAAAAATCAAGTTGTTTGGCTTATTCATTTTTCCATGGAATACTAAGTCAGGAAATGTATAATCACGGAGTATAGCTTGCAATGCCAATTTTGCACAAAAATAGAGAGCTGTAAGCTTGTGTTTTCTGAAGAGCAAGCTCCTATCTGGGACAAGGGGACATAAGGGGAGGGGGTAGGCAGCAGAGACTGGGGTAAAAATGTAATGAATTTGGTCATCATCAAGGAGCTAAATTTTGTATATGGCTCTTCAGACTTCATGGGCTGTCGTGTAAGTACAGGGAAGGGGGAAGAAAGATATCATTATTCATTGTACTAATACTACCATAGGAAGTAAATTGTAGCCTTTGATTAAACCAAGATTACTCAAGACACTTAGTTCTATTCATTTTAATAAAGAAATTAAATGAATGAAAATCAAAAACCATTTGGTGCAGCACTGTGTTCATGACACAGCGGACTCCCTGTCTTTATGGCATCCAGCTGGCTGGACCACCCTTAACTGCAAACTGGTTTCAGGACAACATCAAGTGACGAATTTGATCCTTACAGTTTCTAGGCCCCTATCCCGTACCTCTGTCCTGCTGGTTGCCTTATTTAGTAGCTACGAAATGTACACAGCTGAGAGGAGCACATTTCCTAGAAAAAAATGCTCTTTAAGTTTTAAAGGGCTTAGGAACCACCTGGAGTTCTTGTTAAAGTCATTAAGATGTAGCTTCCAATACTGTAGGTCTAGAAAGGGTCTGAGAATGTGCATTTCTTTTTTAAAAAAATTTATATGAAAGGAAGGGTAGGAGCGAGAGCAAGAGATAGAAATCTCTTGTATCTGCTGGCTTGTTCCCCAAATGGCCACAACAGCCAGTGCTGGGCCAGGCAGAAGCCAGGAGCTTCTTCTGGGTCTCCCACATAGGTGGCAGGGGCCCACGCACTTGGACCATCTTCCTCTGTCTTCCTAGGAACATTAGCAGGGATCTGGATTAGAAATGGAGCAACCAAGACGCAAACCAGGATGCCAGTGTTGCAAGCTGCAGCTAAACCTCCTGTGTCACAATGCCAGGCCCAGAGAATGTCCATTTCTAACAAGCTCCCAAGTGTGGCTACCGCTGTTGGTCCATGGACCACACTTTGAAAACCACTGTCCACAAAGATGGCTGCCACTCTGTGGAGCTCTATGAGAGGCAGGGAAATTCCTTGGGGAAGATGTGGAGCCTGGAGGCTCCTGGATAGCCCTCATCCCTTGGGCCAGCCTTTTGGGCAGACAACTGATTGATCACCTCCAGCCCAGGCATGTCCTGGATGGGTTCAACAAAGACAATTGTTCTTTGGCTGGGTCTGGACAGCATGTCAATTAAGTGTATTAGTGAAAGCAGACAAACCTTGTTAAATTGGGTTTGTTCTGAGGAGTCAATGTTAATCAGATTATGCTGCAGTACCAGAAACGCATGGTGGTAGCTCTAAAGTGCTGGTTTCTGAAGCTCACAATAAATGGATTTAACACTGGATCTGGCCTTTGCTTTTAGTGAAATGCTCAGACCCCTTCCTGTAACAGGTTTTCCTCCCACCCTACCCCTGCCCCTGCCCCTGCCCCTGCCCCTGCCCCTGCCCCTGCCCCTGCCCCAAGGACTTACCTGTAGCATTCCCAGCTGCAGCCGGTAGAGGAGGTTCCGCGCTGTGGGTGTAGACACAATGAGGAGTCTTCTTTTTTCATAAAACTGATCCAGAAGTGCAGCTGCTGTTCTGACACCCACATTGACATTCATGGCTGTAAATAATGCCACATGGGTCAGAAACCCTCTAATTATTTTGGCTCAATGCCAAAATAGCCTGCGATGACACATACAACAAAATACATAAGTATATCCTCAGATAAGACTGGACTGTAAGTACTTTATTTGGGAGGTTGTCCCAAGAAATACTTATAGGGAGTGGGGATCTATATTGGTTTCCTCTTGTTGCTTAACAAGTCATCACGAACTTAGTGGCTTAACATAACACAAATTTGTTCTCTTTAGTCCTGGAGGCCAGAAGTCCTATAAGGGTTTCACTGGGCTAAAACCAAGATATTGACAGCCTGTGCGTCCCTGCAGATGTTCTAGAGGAGGATGTATTCCCTTGCCTTTTTCAACAGCTGGAGGTCACCTTGGCTCCTGGCCCATTTCTCCAGGGCTATTGTGGTCATTTGAGGAGTTAACCAGTAGAGGGAAACTAACTCACTCACTCTGTGTGTGTGTGTGTGTGTGTCTCTTAAAGAATTATTTATTTATTTGAAAGGCAGAGTGGCAGAGAGGGAGAGGTCTTCCACCCACTGGTTCACTCCCCAGATGGCCACAGCAGCCAGAGCTGGGCTGATCCAAATCCAGGATCCTGGAGCTTCTTCCCGGTCTCCCACGTGGGTGCAGGGGCCCAAGGACTTGGGCCATCTTCCACTGCTTTCCCAGGCCATAGTAGAGAGCTGGATTGGAAATAGAGCAGCCAGCATTTGAACAGGTGCCCACATGTTTGCTGGCACCGCAGGTGGCAGGTTTACCTACCACACCACAGTGCCAGACCCTCTCTCCCTTTTTCTATGCCTTTCAAACTAAATGAAACTAAATAAAATTTTTAAATTCTGATATATAGGATAGTCCTGGTCAATAGAAATATAATAGAAGACAGTATATAATTTTAAATTTTCTAGTAATCTCATTAAAAGGACAAAGAATGAGGCGAAATAACTATATTTTATTAAACCTAACATATACAATTTCATTTCAATATGTAACCAATATAAAAATGGAGATAGTCTATATTTTTGTACTATGACTCTGAAGTTGGTGTGTATTTTATTTATACTTACAGCACATGTCAATTCAAACTCGCTTCATTTCAAGTGTTCAAGAGCCACACATGGCTAATGGCTTAGATATTGAACTATGCAGGCCTAGAAACTTACTTGTCACAGCACTCCAGGACTCTCAATGGATATGAAGTCCTCAGATGGAGAGTTGGGGACAGACATGTTCTTTCTGGTTTAGTGTTTGAAATAGAACCTCAGGCACTTAAGCTGATGGTGTGTATGTCTTTAAGCTGATGGTGTGTATGTCTCTCTCCCACCTAACTCTTAATATCTGGGATTAAAGAGAAAGGATAAAGAGGTACCAGAAAATGTAAAGAGAGAGAGAGAGACAGAGAGAGAGAGAGAAACAGAGAGGGAGAAGTATACAAATAAGTTATACATCCAGAATTTTCTGACTCGTCCAAATCTCTCAGCGTTTTCACTCTCCAGGCTGCTTTTTGTTCATCAGTAAGAATAGCTGGAGTATATAGAATGCTTACCCTGTAGCAGGTACTGCTTAATCCACTGTTCAGTGGATAACCTCTTTGAATCCTCACAACAACTCAGCAGGTAGGCAAGGAATTACTTTCCTCATTTTATGTAGAAAGAAAGCCTCCAAATGCCCAACGTCTGCATGATTTTCAAGCCAGTGCTGCAAAGCAGGCATTACGTTGTCTACACCTGACCGTGTTCTGGATTTGTAAACAAGCTCCTTCCGTTTGCAGGAGAGGGGCAGAGTAACTAATGACACCTTCGCTGGTTCCTAATGTCAAAGTCTGGCTCTGGGTTCCCATTTCCAGTTTCTTCCTTAGAGGACATAAAATGGAAATCAGAGGACAGGAAGAGGCAAAGGAGATGAGTTGCAGCAGAGAACTAGGGATTAGGTTTACCCACTCAGATGAAGAATGATGGCAATGAACTTTTCAAAGCACATGAAACAAAACCTTCTTTCCCTGTGCCGGGATCCAGAACTAAGGGGTCTTTAGATTCTTCCACTGGCTGCAGAGACAGTTGCACACATACCTGCGCAGGTGGGCTCTGTGCCAGACCACGCCAGGTTGGACTGACATACTCGGGCAGGGCTACCCTGGAGCTCGTAGCCACCGATGCAGGAGAACTCACAAGTGGCTCCATAATTATCGCCGTCACTGGAGCACTTCATGTAACCATTTTCTGGAGCGTTGAGTTTGCCACAGCGTCTGACTGTAAGGACACAAGCCCAGAGGGATCTCAGCGCTGAGCTCCTTGCACAGAGCAAGCAGAGAGGGTAAGGACTCAGGGGCACCGGCTTTGCCATCAGGCTTCTACGTCACACTGTGCAATGCGTGATGATTATTTAGTCAGTGGGAGAAGCCTTGGACTAGTCACTGCCAATTGCCCTGGTTACAGCAGGACTTGCAGCTTTAGCTGGTCACCCTAGCTCAGGGATGGAAATGTCACCAAACTGTGTCCCACTGGGCCAGCTCTGATGAGACTAGTCCTGGGGAACTTCTTTCCTAATCAGTCAGCACTGAACCCCATTTGAACCTGCACTGGAAAATTCTGGCACTAAGACGGGACACTTGACCCACATCTCGTCAGTCTCTATGGGAGTGGGCACCCAGAGAAAGCTTGCTGCGGGCCTGCATCCCTTGGCCTTACTAAAAGGGCGAAAGGCCAAGAAGCAGCTGTCTTACCTCTTACTTTAACTCGAAATTTGCAAGTACCCTTGTTCTCAGCTCTGTCATAGACAGTATACTGGATCCTGTGGTCTCCTTCTGGAAAATGCGAGCCTGGGGGGAGGCCTTTTAGAATAACACTTAGAGAAAACAAAACATACAGAAACATTATGGACTGAACAGGCAGTTGTTGAGCCCCGAGTCTGCACAGGAGGTGGGGATCCTAAAGGGCAGCCAGTCCGACCAGAGCAAAGACATCTTCAAGAACAGAAACTCCTGAGCTTTTCTGTTTTAGAACAGCAGTTTGAGACCAGAAAATGGGAGGGCCCAGTGACTGGGAAGTTGAGATGTGTTTTTTTCTTGCTAGAGGGTGGAAAAGTGGTATGGGGGGAGACTGAGAGGCCAAGGCTTGTCATCCTCTGGTTCCACCCTTGTTCCAGGGGGGCACCTGAATTGCCTCACTATCAAGAGGACAGGGGAATTTTTTGCGAGGAAAATCATTTGAACATACAGTCCTAGCAGTCATGGAAAATTTGAGCCTATAGGAGGTGCTAGAACTTTCTCTGCTTTTTCTAACTGGGCCAGTGGAGGCCTTTCCAGAGCAAAAGGCAAATTCTCTGTGATTTCTTGATTATCCTAATAATACAATAATAATTATTATTATTATTCTTTGCATTTCCATAAACGTTACACTATGTCAGGCATGGTTCTAAGCACTTTACATATATATCCATTTCTTTAATCCTCACAACAATTCTGTTAGGTAGGTAGTATGATCTCCGTTTCACAGGTGAGGAAACTGAAGCACAAAAAGTTTAACGAGGTGGCCACCACTGTGGCATGGCAACACTGGCATCTCATGTTCAAGTCCTGGCTGCTCCACTTCTGATCCAGCTCCCTGCTAGTGTGCTTGGGGAAGCAGCAAAAGATGGCCCAAGTGCTTGGGTCCCTGTCACCCATGTGGGAGACCCAAAGAGGCTCCTGGCTTCTGGCTTCTGCCTGGCCCAGCCCTTGTCATTGTGGCCATTTGGGGAGTGAATCAGCAGATGGAAGACCTCTCTCTGTCTCTTCCTCTCTCTCTCTCTCTCTCTCTGTAACTCTACCTCTCAAATAAATAATCTTTTTTCAAAAGTGTAAAGCAGTTGTCCACGATCACACAGCTATAGTGACTCCAGTATCTTTCTTCTTGGCTGTATAATAAGAACACCAATAGGTAGAGCATGACCAAATGCCAAACTTTGTTTGGCTTTCAGTATATAGCGAATTCCTCTTCTCTGTATCATTCTTGGGAATGATGAGAATATTTGCTCATAATGGACACGTGGAGGCATCACCATCATCATTGAGGAGAGTCTTGCACATATGTGAGCGTGGCGGCTGTTTACAAGGTATGCAGTGAGGCAATGAGGTTTCACCTCACCCCGGTTAGAATGGCTCACATACAGAAATCTACCAACAACAGATGCTGGCGAGGATGTGGGGAAAAAGGGACACTAACCCACTGTTGGTGGGAATGCAAACTGGTCAAGCCACTATGGAAGTCAGTCTGGAGATTCCTCAGAAACCTGAATATAACCCTACCGTTCGACCCAGCCATCCCACTCCTTGGAATTTACCCAAAGGAGTTTAAATTGATAAACAAAAAAGCGGTCTGCACCCTAATGTTTATTGCAGCACAATTCACAATAGCCAAGACCTGGAACCAACCTAAATGCCCATCAATGGTAGATTGGATAAAGAAATTATGGGATATGCATTCTTTAGAATACTATACCGCAGTAAGAAACAACGAAATCCAGTCATTTGCAACAAAATGGAGGAATCTGGAACACATCATGCTGAGTGAAGTAAGCCAGTCCCAAAGGGACAAATACCATATGTTCTCCCTGATCGGTGACAACTGACTGAACACCAAAAAGGAAACCTCCTGAAGTGAAATGGACACTATGAGAAACGGTGACTTGATCAGCATAGCCCTGACTGTTAATGAACAACTTAATACATTATCCCTCTTAGTAGTTTTTTTTTGTCTGTTCTACTTAATATGACTGGTTTAATTCTGTAATTATCACACAGTTATTCTTAAGTGTTGAAAATTAACTGAAATGTGATCCCTGTTAAACATAAAAGTGGGAATAAGAGAGGGAAGAGATGTATAATTTGGGGCATGCTCGGGCTGACTTGCCCCAATTGGTAGAGTTGGAAACATACCAGGGGATTCCAATTCAATCCCATCAAGGTGGCATGTGCCAATGCCATCTCACTATTCCAAGTGATCAATTTCAGTTCACAATTGATCATAATGAAAGGACTAAGAGTCAAAGGGAGCACATAAACAAGTCTAGTATCTGCTAACACTAACCGATAGAATAAATAAAGGGGAGAGTGATCCAACATGGGAAGTGAGATACTCAGCAGACTCATAGAATGGCGGATGTCCTAAATAGCACTCTGGCCTCAGAATCAGCCCTAAAGGCACTCGGATCTGGCTGAAAAGCCCATGAGAGTATTTCAGGCATGGAAAGCCAAGGCACTCTGGCAAAAAGATCTCTGTGAGTGAGATCCCAGTGGAAAGAACAGGTCTTCAAAGAGGGAGGTGCCTTTCTCTGAAGGGAGGAGAGAACCTCCACTTTGACTATGACCTTGTCTAAACAAGATAAGAGTCGGAGAACTCAAGGGGCTTCCATAGCCTTGGAAACTCATGACTGGTGCATAGGGAGATTACTGATGCCATAAACAGGAGTGTCAATTTGTAAAGTCAACAACAGGAGTCACTGTGCACTTACTCCTCATGTAGGATCTCTGTCCTTAATGTGCTGTACACTGAGGCTTAATGCTATAACGAGTACTCAAACAGTATATTTCACTTTGTGTTTCTATGGGGGTGCAAACGATTGAAATCTTTACTTAATGTACACTAAACTGATCTTCTGTAAAAAAAAAAAAAAAAAAAAAAGAAATTATCAATTCCCAACTTGACTCTCACTGGGATTAAACATGACAATAGGTCTGATCTGATTTCATCATCATTTAAAAAAAAATCATCTATTATTTTTCACTTTATGTTTCTGTGTGGGAGCAAACTGTTGAAATCCTTACTTAAGGTATACTAAGCTGATCTTCTGTATATTAAGATAATCGAAAATGAATCTTGATGTGAATGGAAGGGGAGAGGGAGTGGGAAAGGGGAGGGTTGTGGGTGGGAGGGACGGTATGGGGGGGAAAGCCATTGTAACCCATGAGTCGTACTTTGGAAATTTATATTCATTAAATAAAAGATAAAAAAAAAAAAAAACAAGGTATGCAGTGAGGGGTCTTGGGAAAGTGGCAGAAATCCAACCACTTACAGACATGTCGCCTTTGGCTTTAGATACTCTAAGTTCCTTGGGAAGCACAATGCAAATGCAGATAAACCTTCCAACATGAATGGCTGCTAACCTTGCTGAGGCTCCATTCATCTGTGGCATGCAAATGACAGTCTGAAGGGGTCAGTGAAGGCACTCACGGGAAGTACTTGTCTCAGAGCTTGACACTAAAACCTTCCATCACTGCCTATATCACTTGGATAAGACGTGAGGAACAGGTCACAGGAAAAATGCCAGGGAACCAAGGATCCCAAGTGGGAGCTGAAAAGGAGACCAGGTAGCCTTCTCTCAGCTCCTCACCCCGCTGGAGTGTGCTCCCCATGGCATCCTGCTCCGAGGCATCGCAGGCTCTGGGCTGGAGAACTCTGCGAGCAGAAAGCTGCTCTTAACGGAGCAGCAGGGGACTACTGAGATGCCCTTTTCAAATGTCACATTTCTTACCATAATGCACAGGTTACCCACAAAAATGCCAAGGTGAGTATCCTCACAAAATCTTTTAGACAAACAGAATCATCTAGTGACTTGATATTTTGAGTTTATTAGGTGGGCTTTCAACAACAATCATAGTTGCAAAAATCCAAGAACCTACTGAGTGTTAGGGGCTGGGCCAGGGACTGTACTAAACCCTGAAGCATCAAAGATAAATAAAACCCAATCTCTGATCATGTCAACTGTGATATACTTTTTAATCCCACTCACCCAAAGTTTCTCCTCAGGGGTTTGTGTCATATGTATGTGACAGTGAATAATTTTTAAATGATCAATCTTTAAGAAGCTACAAGGAAGAATACAAACAGTAATATGATTTAAACTGGATAATGTACTTGAGGAAGATTATCAGGATGTAGGAACAAAGTGTCCTGCTAGGGAGGAGAGATTCAACCTCTTCTTAGAGGGAGATGTTCTGCTATTGTTAATAATTGTCTAAGAAGGTTTTGGTTTGTACAGCCTGGGTTGGTAGGACTCTAGAAAGTCTTCCCATGTTGTATGGTTCGCCAGGGCATAGGCTAAAGGCAGCCTTTTGTCCACAGATGGAAACTCAATAGGGAGGTCTAATGGGGCCATGAACTTTAAGGCACAGGTTTGAATATCCTGACATGATGTAGTAGTCTCCAGAAAATAAAGGCCAGCAGCTGCAGGGGTACAGGCCAAAATGCTGGATTTAGCATAATACGTAGGTGAACTTCACCAAAGGGGAGCACCCATTTGTAAAAGCTTCTCTGGTGTACATCCAACTATAAATGCAAGTGGTCCTGGAGAATGGGGTAGAGGTGAGGAAGAAGGCAAAAGCCACCTCATCTCTTTTTATATAATCTTCTGTCAGTGATGTGGTCATAATTTGTAAAGCTAAGTGACAAATCAGAATTTCTGAAAGAAACAGATGCAATAAAAAAAACAAGGGGTGAAAAAGTTTGGCACTAAACTGTACTCTCAGAGCACAAGGAGTGTAGCAATTAGCCCCACCTGGGAGACACACAGGGTTTCCCAGTGGAGGTAATGGCTCAATAAGGCCTATGGGCATAAGTAGGAGCCCCACCGCAGCCGCCACCACCACCACACACACACCTAGGCAGGCAACAGGGGTAGTCTATCCATGAATTAACCAGTTAATTTCCTCTTTCTCTACCATTCTTCCCCCAACCCCTTATCTCAACTTCTTTCCTTCAACAACTATTTCCTGAGTGCTAATGATGTGCTTGGCACAGTTCTGGGCATTAGTGATATGGACACGGCCACACAGTAAAGGAGACAGACAGTAAACCAATACAGAAGCGAGTATGTAGCATGTTAGATGATGACCAGGGGATCGCACGAACGCATAAGCAGAGCAGCACGAACACACTCCCACACTGGGGAGTAAACGCCTCGCGTGAGGACACAGCGTCACTGCAGCTGCCAGCTGCACTTACTCGGTGAGAATGCCATCTGCTGTGTCTCTTCCTTCAGGGGTCTCCCAGGATACCCGGACTGTTAGCTTATTGGGTTCGGCAATGCGTTCCTTCACACTTGGGCACTTGATTCTAGGAGGTTCCATGTCTGAAAGTACAATCAAAACATTCTCTCCATCACCAAGAAGTTGGGGCTCAACACCCAAAGTTTGACATACCCAAATGTCTAGACAGCCCCCAATGCTAAAAGACTGTGTCCTCTCTATTTCTCGTCTTTCCCTTCACTTTCCCCTCTGTCTCCTGTTGAGTTTTGAAGATGGCTGGAGTACTCGCGCACAGAGCTAAACCTGCAATCAACTGGCCTCACTAGGTGTCCTGTGGGGTAACAGGTATAGCTCATTCCCCCATGGGCTTCCAAACTCTGCCGCCTGAACCGGCACACTGGCACCTACCAGCTGAAGCTAGAAAGCATTCAGCTTTGGTGAGATCCTCCTTCTGGAAAGATAGCATCAAAGAATATTACCGAAAGGTACCATACCCATCACCTACACTGACTCAACTCAAGGCGGCAAAACTTCCGTGAGTGCTTCTCTTAGCAAGGCTGCATTCCAATTGTGATGGTTCGGGGTGCACAGAGGCAACAGAATCCTTTACTCCTGACTTTTCAAAGAGCTTACAGTCACCACACATGAAATGTAACACCAGGTAGAAAATGGCATTGCCCCAAGCAAGGTAAAAACGTGGAGGTATAAAGGAGCCACTTGTCTCTCTCATTTTATAATATTTAAATGAGGCTCAGAGAGCTTAAGTGATTTATTTAAGACCATACATGGGAGGCTAGCACTGTGCCTGCATCCAATACGGGCACCAGTTCGAGTCCCAGCTGCTCCACTCCTGATCCAGCTCTCCACTATGGCCTGGGGAAGCAGTGGAAGATTTCCCAAGTCCTTGGGCCCCTGCATCCACGTGAGAGACCCGGAAGAGACTCCTGGCTCCTGGCTTTGGATGGGCACAGCTCCAGCTGTTGCAGCCAATTGGGAAGTGAACCAGCAGATGGAAGACCTCTCTCTCTCTCTGCCTCTCCTTCTCTCTGTGTGTGTGTGACTCTGACTTTCAAATAAATAAATAAATCTTTGTTTTTAAATTGAAGATACTACCTAAATCATTAAAAAAAAAAGACCACACATGTAGATAGTGGCAGTGTGAATTGTAAGCAAAGTCAGCACTTACCACTGGGAACAAACTCTTTCTCTTCCTGCTATATTTCTTCCTAACAAACAGTTCAATATCTTAAAAGAGGCAATGATCTGTCTGGGTCCACTCTCTCACTGAACTGCCATTGGACTTGTGGCTTTGTGTTTGGGGACAGCAGTTTTGCTCTGGTTCTGGCTCTCCAAAGACCTCCCCAGTTTCCCCAAGTTGCTTCTCTATCTGATAGGAGAAGTTCTGCCTCCTCACTATCAAGATGGATTGATAATGGGGGCTAGAAATAAATTATATCAGTCCTACACTTGCTTGTATTTCATCTTATCACAGCTGAAATGAAATCCAAAGAGTAAGTTTAGGCCGGCGCCGTGGCTCACTTGGCTAATCCTCCACCTTGCGGCACCAGCACACCGGGTTCTAGTCCCGGTCAGGGCACCGGATTCTGTCCCGGTTGCTCCTCTTCCAGTCCAGCTCTCTGCTGTGGCCAGGGAGTGCAGTGGAGGATGGCCCAAGTGCTTGGGCCCTGCACCCCATGGGAGACCAGGAGGAGGCACCTGGCTCCTGGCTTCGGATCGGCGCAGCGCACTGGCTGTGGCAGCCATTTGGGGGGTGAACCAACGGAAAAGGAAGACCCTTCTCTCTGTATCTCTCTAAAAAAAATAATTAATTAATTAATTTTAAAAAAAGAGTAAGTTTAAATTTTTGCAGATTTTACTTTGATTCTGAGCAGGTATAGAATACATTTTAAAAGAGATAAAAACTTAATAGCACTCAGCTTTGCATTGATTTACATATGTACTAAGAATTATTTAAATGTTATTAAATGTGGAATGAAGATTAAATATACTGTTTTTCCTTTTAAAAATTTATTCATTTTTTTGAAATGCAAAGTGACAGAGAGAGAGAGAGAGAGAAATCTTCTATCTGCTTATTTACTCCCCAAATGCCTGCAACTGCTGGGACTGAGCCAGGGTGAGCCAGGATCCAGGAACTCCATCCAGGTCTCCCATGTGAGTAGCACTAACTCGAGCACTTGAACCATCCTCTGCTGCTTCCAAGGCACATTAGCAGGAAGCTGGATTGGGAGCAGAGGCTGGACTTGATACCAGGTACTTACATATGGGATGCAGGTATCCTAATAGGTGGCTTAATCCATGTGCCACAATGCCCACCCCTAAATGTCCTTTCAACATAGACTCACAAACATATTTTAAAAAGATTATTTATTTGAAAGGTGGAGTTACAGAGAGAGAGGGAGAGAAAGAGAGATCTTCTATCTGCTGGTTCACTCCACAATTGGCCACAACAGCTGGATTGGCCAGGGTTGGGCCAGGCTGAAGCCAGGAGCCCAGAACTCCATCTGGGTCTCCCGTGGTGCATTAGCAGGGAGTTGGATCCAAAGCAGAGCAACAGACCCCCGAATTGCCATGCGTGCTACACCACAATGCCAGCTCTGAATCAGAAGCATCTTGAGACAATAAATGTATCACGTAAAATTCTTCATTTATTTTCTCTTCTCTAATAACTTCTCATTTTATTTAGGGTAAGAAATTATTAATAATTTGTTAAACAATTTTGCCTTCAAATATTTAACTTCATATTCATTCAGTTAGCAAAAAGAGTTGCAGATTGGTGCCGCCTCACACGGGGCACCATAAATGTTAGGGAAAGAAGCGTGGAATAGAGAGGAGGCAGAGTACGAATTGACAGCCAGACCGAATTTATTCAGAGAAAATAAATCCCTACAGGTGGGTGACCAACTGCCCACGTGCACATTGAAGGAACACGGGGCAGAAGGCCCTGACCCCCAGGGGCCCGGCCTTTTTATATCTTAGGAGGGCTAGGGGTAGGGGTGGGGGTGGGGGGCAGCAGGTGGAGGGGATTTCCTGGAACTGGGCGGGGCCTTGGGAACCAGGAAAAGAATGAGGGTGGGGCATGAAGGCAATAGGGTGTGTGACCCAACTGAGATTCAGGGGCAAGGATTATATTGCAATGTTTATCGGTCTCTTGGGCAGTGAGCAAGAATGGCTGAGGCTTCTGTCTTTGTTCCATCACATTCTATGTCACCTTTTAATGGAGTGTGAATTTACAGCCTTAATATGCTAATCTTAAATTGAGTAATGATCACATTTTATTGACTCTAAATCACTATCAATTGGGAGATGCATCACAACTCCAGTGATATTAAAATGTGAAAAAGTGCTTCTTACCATTGACAAAATAAAGCATATAAGCATTATGATGAAATGGAAGATACTTTAAATAAGTTTGATGTATCTATTTTTAGATGGAGAGGATACAATCTAAATGTAAAATTACATTGTGTATATTGTCTTGGAGCAACATTGTTAGAGTGAAGAGAGACTCAGCCTCTGTCAGGTAAACAGAACACTGGGGTAACAGTGGTCTTTTTTTTTGTATCAGCTAGATGCCCTGATCATATACAAACTCCAAAGTAGGTTATCTGGGAAGAGAGTCTCAGGGTTTTCTAAAAGCCTGCTCGTGTCCAGCTAACAATGATGAGACAAAACTTGCCCAGCTTTTCAGACACAGTGCTCTTCCAAAGCAGAAAGAAGAAAGAAATCACTACAAATAATAGCTAGTATTTACTGAACCTTTGTATGTGGCCACCCCACGCGGAGCACTGTCCCTGCATTATTTCACTGAATTCACAACCACCTATTAGACTAAGTAGTGTTATTAGCATCACCATTTATAGACTGGGAAGTATCTCCTCTTTTTTGGAATTTCTTTGTGGTCTGGGATGTAAGAGACCATCACGTGTTTTTCAATGGTTGTGATAAACCAAATGTTTCTCTGTATCTGCCTGCTGCAAACTGCTGCCTGTTGCTTCCCTCCAACCTTTGCACACATATTCTTTGCTGACTGCCTGCCCCAGCTTCCCCATAAATCCTTGAAGAGCAGCAGCAGGAACTGATTCGGATGCATCCTTGAGCAGCTGCCCTCTCCCTCAATTGATGAGACCAGGTGGCCTGCCCTTTGCAAATACTCTGGAGCCATAAGGCTATTATTCCCCAGCCATGACCACCACGGCTCTTTATAAGTTATGACAAACCTCCATCAATGAAATGAACAAAGTTACTATAGAAACATAATTACTGTTTCCTCTTGAGTCAGCTTCCCTGCAGAGCCAGTTATTGTGTGGAAATTCGGAAACTCTCAGTGAAAATCTTGGCCTCTGCCCTCTGCCCCACTCATGGGGACATCTGACAAACTGTCTCTTCTTTGTGCTCTACTTTCCTCCCTAAATACAAAATATGAGAAACATATTATTGAGTTGGGAGTCCTTAACATAGCTATCCAGGAAGGTAGTGGAAATAAGGAAGATGTTCAAAAGGATAATGTCTTGGCCAATAGGTCACATTAAAATGTTAAGGGAAGCGACTCGATGCCAGTTCTACACTTAGGCCTTTAAAGAGTCTCAAACATTCTGCTTTTCCCAGTTTGGAAACCAGTTGTCATCTAAAGAAGTCCAACTAGCCGGCGCCACGGCTCACTAGGCTAATCCTCTGCCTGTGGCGCCAGTACTCTGGGTTCTAGTCCTGGTCAGGGCGCCAGTTCTGTCCCAGTTGCCCCTCTTCCAGTCCAGCTCTCTGCTGTGGCCCCAGAAGGCAGTGGAGGATGGCCCAAGTGCTTGGGCCCTGTACCCGCATGGGAGACCAGGAGGAAGTACCTGGCTCCTGGCTTCAGATCGGCGCAGCACGCCGGCCGTAGCGGCCATTTGGGGGGTGAACCAATGGAAGGAAGACCTTTCTCTCTGTCTCTCTTTCTCACTAACTCTGCCTGTCAAAAAAAAAGTCCAACTGACAGATAAGTCCATGAAATGAGGATGAGAAATTGAGAGAAAGAGAGAGAGAGAGAGAAGGAGGGAGGGAAGGAGGGAGAAAGACTAGGACCACAGTCAATGCAGTTTCCTCCAAC